CCTCTCTGAAACTGCTGAGTTTGCAAGGAAGTGGGTGCCTTTCTGCAAGAAGCACAACATTGAGCCTAGAGCTCCTGAGTTTTATTTTGCTCAAAAGATTGATTATCTAAAGGACAAGATACAGCCGTCTTTTGTGAAGGAACGCCGTGCAATGAAGGTCAGTGTAAAGATACATAATTGTGTTTATGCATGTGTTATGTTGTTGGGTATATATTAAATGTTTTCCTGAGAAGTTCTTTAATTGTCACTTTAAGTTTTTCCACACAGATTTTCCAAAATTTTACTTTCATGGTTTTGGTTTGGAAAGCATTTAGTTTAAGTTTGGGTTAACCTAGAATTAGATTTCTTTCAACATGATGCAAATGTGGTTTATATCTTGAGATGAATGACATAGTGGTAAAATATAAGAATATTTGAATTGGAGATAACATTCAAAACAAAATAAAACCGTAAAGAATATTGTTAGTGCCTTGTGAAACATTCACAGACCTATAAAAACAGTTGTTAGGACCTTTGGATGATTTTTTAAGTAAATGACATTTTTATGGTTTTTCCTGGTAAGCCTTGCTCTAAATACTTCAGGCCTTCATTCATACTTTTGCTTTTCTGTCAGTCACTGCAGAAAATAAACAAATAACTGAAGAAACAAATCCTTATAGGGCATCAAGTAAAAGGCTAACTTTTAAAGCGAATAAATCTAAAGTGATTTCCCTTCTATCCACTGCTTCCTATTAAACCAGAAAAAAGAAGTGCCTGTTACGTTCTTTTAACATGGAAAAAGTAAAATTTTCTTTCAACAGAGAGAATATGAAGAATTCAAGGTGCGGATCAATGCCCTTGTTGCCAAAGCTCAGAAAATGCCCGAAGAAGGTTGGACAATGCAGGATGGTACGCCATGGCCTGGAAATAATCCAAGAGATCATCCAGGAATGATACAGGTATCATCCTGCTGCCTAGATGTGTCTATATAAATTGGCTCTGATTTTCTTGCTATCATGGTTCTTTCCATTTTATAATGTATTTTTTGTTGAATGACAGGTGTTTTTAGGCCACAGTGGGGGGCTTGATACTGATGGAAATGAGCTACCTCGACTTATCTATGTATCTCGTGAGAAGCGACCTGGCTTCCAACACCACAAGAAAGCTGGAGCCATGAATGCTTTGGTATGCCATTCTCAGCCTTTTTTTCAGTTTCACTATGTTTTCCCTGAAGCTGTCACAGATGTCCTCTGGTCTTCTTGGGGCACTCTGTATATCATAAATGCATCATGAAACCAAAGTGTTTTAGAGCATAATATTTACATCTGATACACACCTTTGCAATGATCATGCCGGTCCTTTTGCTGGATATTCTTTACTGAGGAATGTATCACATAGACGTTTGGGCATGTTTCACATCAGGATTTTAGATCTTTGGAACATGCAACTTTCTAGGGCTAGAATCAATTGCATTTTCCAATCTGGGTTATCTTTTGATTTGCAGATTCGAGTTTCAGCTGTCCTTACCAATGGAGCATTTTTGTTGAATGTCGATTGTGATCACTACTTCAATAACAGTAAAGCTCTTAAAGAAGCTATGTGTTTCTTGATGGATCCTGTCCTTGGAAAGAAGACATGCTATGTGCAGTTCCCACAACGTTTTGATGGCATTGACTTGCATGATCGATATGCCAATAGGAATATTGTGTTCTTCGATGTATGGCCCACTTAATTTGGCCTCAGGGTAGAATTTATTTCTGATTAATAATTACTTAAAGGGGAATGGTAGTTCATTTTGTACTTGTTATTTTGCAGATTAACTTGAAAGGGTTTGATGGTATCCAAGGTCCAGTCTATGTGGGAACTGGTTGTTGTTTCAACAGGCAAGCTCTATATGGATATGATCCAGTTTTGACAGAAGCTGATTTGGAACCAAATATTATTGTTAAGAGTTGTTGTGGTTCAAGAAAGAAGGGAAAGAGTGGGAATAAAAAATACATTGACAAGAAAAGGGCAGCTAAGAGAACTGAATCCACCATCCCTATTTTCAATATGGAAGATATTGAGGAGGGTGTTGAAGGTAGGATTTCATCAAAACTACTCTATTATTTTCTGATTATTATCTCCAATTGATTTGATTTTGTCTGCATCAGCTCTAGATCCTATCAATTTGGTTATACATGAAATATTGTGGGGACTTACCTTTTCTGCATGGCTGCCATAAATTTTCCATTACATCGTATTTTTCCAGCATCAACATTATTCAAGGTCACTCAGAAACTCATTTATATGAAAGTATTTTGGATAGTGGATATTCCATGTTGATTAAGTTGAGGATGAAGATGAAATCAATGACCGGTAGTGTTAGGATGCCCGTGCTCTGTGTGGTTTTAACTTCATTCATAATGTTCTGCAGGATATGATGATGAAAGGTCTCTTCTCATGTCCCAGAAGAGCTTAGAGAAGCGATTTGGTCAGTCTCCGGTATTTATTGCAGCTACCTTCATGGAACTAGGAGGCATTCCACCATCAACCAATCCTGCATCTCTTTTAAAAGAAGCAATCCATGTTATTAGTTGTGGATATGAGGACAAGACTGAATGGGGTAAAGAGGTCAGTTTAGTGAGGTGTCATGCCCTTTAGTAGTACCTAAGCCAGTGTCCATTTTTATATGTATTAACTTGGTTTTTTTTTTTTCTTCCTGTCACCAGATTGGATGGATTTATGGTTCTGTTACAGAAGATATTTTGACTGGTTTTAAGATGCATGCTCGTGGATGGATATCAATCTATTGCATGCCTCCTCGTCCGGCATTTAAGGGGTCTGCTCCTATCAATCTTTCTGACCGTTTGAACCAGGTTCTTCGATGGGCCTTGGGTTCTATTGAGATTTTGCTGAGCAGGCATTGCCCCATATGGTATGGTTACAATGGAAGATTGAAGCTTCTGGAGAGATTGGCATACATTAACACAATTGTTTACCCCCTTACCTCTATTCCTTTGCTTGCCTACTGTATGCTTCCAGCCTTTTGCCTTTTGACAGGAAAATTTATTATTCCTGAGGTAAGTGATTATTATAGCTTCACTTTTTGCTTTGGAATAGACTTTCCTCTTACATCCCTAATCCTGCAATCTTCTTTTTTCCTCTGATATTTTACAAATGCCTTGTGCAGTAATGTTTTTCCTCCAATTTTTATGCAGATAAGCAACTTTGCTAGCATGTGGTTCATTCTCCTTTTCGTCTCCATTTTTGCTACTGGAATACTTGAGCTTAGGTGGAGTGGTGTCAGTATTGAAGACTGGTGGAGAAATGAACAATTCTGGGTCATTGGTGGGACATCAGCTCATCTCTTTGCTGTCTTCCAGGGTCTTCTAAAGGTGCTTGCCGGAATTGATACCAACTTTACTGTCACTTCAAAGGCATCTGATGAGGATGGCGACTTTGCAGAGCTTTATGTTTTCAAATGGACATCCCTTCTCATTCCTCCAACCACAGTACTCATTGTGAACTTGGTGGGTATTGTGGCTGGTGTATCGTATGCGATAAACAGTGGTTATCAATCCTGGGGTCCACTTTTTGGCAAGCTTTTCTTTGCTATATGGGTTATTGCCCATTTGTACCCTTTCTTAAAGGGTTTGTTGGGTCGTCAAAATCGTACCCCTACAATTGTCATCGTGTGGTCTATTCTTCTCGCTTCTATCTTCTCCTTGCTGTGGGTGCGGATCGACCCCTTCACCTCTGATGCTACAAAAGCTGCTGCTAATGGGCAATGTGGCATCAACTGTTAGTTTCATTTTGGGATCATTTTGTTTCGGTAAATGCTCTCTCCTTCAAGTTGGCTACCGTGTATATAACAAAAGAAATTAAGATGTCAAAGCCATAAGCATGATATAAGTTATAACTGCAGTCTCGATGAATTTATGTATTGTTAGACAGATGGAGACCTAAGACCAAGAACCTCATATCTTTTCGATCGCTTTCATTCTTCCACGAGGTATTGCTGATGGTCTAAGGCTGTTTAAGTGGTTCGGACCAAAGTTTGATCTTGATTTTGTTTAGTTCTATAAATATTGTTTCTTTTACTAAGAGCATGTAGAGATTTTTATTCATCCAATGCTATGAAAGTGACTTGTTTTCGTTCTTTTGAAGTTCATACTTTTTAAGTGTCATGGTGGAAATTTTTATTAGATCATTCATATGAGATCGGAGTTGATGTTCTGAAATCTTAAATCTTAAATCTGATGCTCCTTTAAGTTTCATCCAAATCTGGCCATTGCATTTACTTTGGAAAACAAGTGAAAGTGTCAATTGCCTTGAATTTTTAACCTTAGCAGCTTAATGCCCGTGGTCTATGGGCTTTCATTGGTGTTTAAAGCACAAAATGTTTCAGCTGAATTTGCAAATTTGGTAGGTTTATAAATTATAAACATGGCTGGTGGCACAATCCTTTTTTTTTTAAATGGCCAACTGGTCTATGTTAGGCTAATCCTTTTGGTCCAATGTTTTAGTTTTGAAATTTTTTTCCAATCCACGAATGTGGACTTACATTCTCGTAATCCCAATCATTGAATCTATGAGTTTTTTTTTTTTTTTTTATATATATATAATTGTAAAAATATAAGTTTCTAGAAAAGAAAATCTCTTTGTTACAAAATTTACACAATTATTGAATTTTAATCACCTATAAAATGGGGGTTATAGTATTAGGATTATATGATGCAGAAAGATATGAAGCACAACATAATTTAAAATTTTAATAAAATTTCATATGAATTTGATAAAAAAAAATCATAATTAACGTGGTAACAATTATAATATGATAATTTTTATATTTTATTTATATTTAATATAAAATAAATAAACATAAATATACAAATTGTCCAATCAGTCTCATTCTCCCAAATTTCCAACTTCCTGCTTAAGATTTTTATAGATGTCGTGCTTACTAATGATTATGATATTATAATTTTAAAGTGAACAATATTTTTTTTCCCAAATCAAAGATCATTTGTTTCTAATATTATTTTATTAGAAAGTCCAGGGCTTCACTCCGTCAAAAGCCCAATCTAAAATAGAAACGACGACGTTTCAAGGTGCCAGAGAAAATTACTTGTGGTGGGAGGAAAACCCCAAATAAAGAAGAGCAGGGGGAATGGTGAGAGGGACTGGATTCAAGGGTTTTTGAGCCGTTAAGTGAAAGCCTCCTCCTCTCTCTCTCCCTTTCCTTTGCTTGGTGAGCATATACATAGTTAGGGTTTTTTTTTCACTCTTTCTGGGAGAAGAATAAGAAGAAGAAGAAGAAGAAGAAGAATGGAGGGGATAACCGAGGGAGTGAACAACTTGAACATCACGGATTCATCAGCCTCCAACAACAAGAAGAACCGTATCCAAGTCTCCAATACCAAAAAACCCCTCTTCTTCTACGTCAATCTCGCCAAGGTTCTCTCTTCCTTTCCTTCCCTTTGTTTATCATCTCTGTGTTTTTCTCAAATCCTTCTTTCTCCCTTGGTGATATGTTTGCCTGCTCAGACCGTTTTAGCAGTGATTAGTTTTCAAGTATGCTGTTATTCTTTGTCATTAAGGAATGATTGCTTTAATATTATGGTTTTGGGTATTTATTTATATTTCTTTTTAACTGTATTAGGGATTTTTTTTTATGTCATTCTGTTTCATTGCTGGATAGTTATCTTCTTGATGTGAAAACCCATAATTTCTTTTGGTTTTCTATTAAAAAAATAGAATAGACGTGTATTTTTCTATTAGAAGACAAATAATAAGTGTAATTTTTTGGGATAAGTGACAAATATGAATTGTAGGAACAAAATTTGAATAAAAACAGATTTTGCTAAGTTGTTTAAGCTTTTTCTTTTTGCTCCATTTTGGCAGAGATACATGCAGCAATACAATGAGGTGGAACTCTCTGCTCTTGGAATGGGTATTCTTTTTTTTTTTTTGGTCTAAGACTTTCATTCTATTGCACCATGCTTGCTTTATTTGTTCTTAAAAAAGAGTTTTTTTGGGGAGGGGGAAAGGGTTTATTAAAAGTAGCATCCATTTGGATGTTCTTGTCAGTATAAATTTTAGAATTCAGATGATTTTGTGGTGAGTATTGAAGTAGCAATTTACTTTTGCTGCTCTCTTAATTTCTTAGTATATGTTATCTATTTATCTTTGGAGGAATGTAATCTGTTATCTATACTGATAGGTTCAACTCTGAGTGGCTATCATGTAATTGATGCTCATGTACTGTTTTTTTCTCATTAGCTCTATGTTGCAGTGTTAACTCAAAGAAACAAAGAGACCATTTGTTTTTATACCACTGGGGTAGAAATAGGACATGTTTAAGGATGTGTTGCTATGCAGACCATTCGTAATTTAAAGTGTTGGAAAAAATTGTGTTACTTTCTTTTTTCTTGCTTTTCTTCACATCTTGCATTTAAATGCTGTCCACAGCTATTGCTACAGTCGTTACCATTGCTGAGATATTGAAGAACAATGGGCTGGTTGTTGAGAAAAGTGAGATTTTTACCCTTAATGAGATTCCTTTTAGCTTTCATTTCATGTTGAGAACTCAAACTTACTATCTTGATATATGTGAATCATATGCCAGAAATCACAACTTCTACCATTGACATGAGAGAGGAATCAAGGGGACGACCTGTTCAAAAAGTAAAAGTAAGTTGCAAATACAGCATATAATTATTTACTTTAAGTTACATTTATCACGTAGCTCATATTAGACTGACCTGAATGCTTTCAGAAGCTGGAGTTCTATTCTTTTGTTTGTCAGTATGTAAGATCAATTAAATAAATAGGGAATCTATGAAATTGGGCCTCTGTTTGTGGTGAAGTGATGAGACCTTACTTCTGTTAATTGGTGGGGGTAGAGAAACAACAATTTATTATTTTTCTCGCATTTGCTCATTTCAAACCCACTGAATGGTGTGACGTAGGAGTTGACATGTGTTGGTCAAGGCCACGTTTGGAATTGGGACTTTTATATCCATAATGGAACTCATGATACTTAGCAGTTTGATTAAATATAAAGTTTTAAGCCCTAGTGGTTGGAATAATATCTCTTGATATTCAAGCATGTTCAGTTGTTCACATCTATGCTACTCATATGTAGAGGTGCTGCCACCGTTTAACCTACTTAGTTTAGTCATTGGTGTAAATGGCTGTTTCTGATATGGGTTTATTATTGTATTAGGATGAAGGGCATGGCGAGTTATGTTGGTATTAAAGTTGCATGTATCAGTTTGCTCCATTTTTAGTCATATATATAGCTCTCTTATATTAATTTTCATGAGATGGTTGAACTTATGTTAATATTAGAGGCTGACTTCAATGAGTTTATTATTTTATAGATTGAAATACTGCTGGGGAAGTCAGAGAAGTTCGATGAGTTGATGGCTGCTGCAGCTGCTGAGGAAGTCGTGGACAATGAGGAGCAGAGTTAAGATGAGATGTTCCCATAATTTTAGCTTGTGTTTACTTAATTGTTGAGATTTTTAACGGTTCTATTCTTGTTTGGCTGTGTGGAGTGAAGCTTACTAGCTGTGATGATATTTTAGTTAGGAATTTTTGTAAAATACTATGGCCCTGTTGTTATTCAAAATTCAAATTTGTTGCTAATTCCTTGCTTACATTAATGTCTGTTCAGATAATTTACGGATGTTGCCTTCCTTTTTTATGTTTACAAATATTTTTTTTTCTTCCTTCAAATCAAACGTCTTGGTGCCTATAATTTTAGCAATTGAGCAGCCAGACATGAAGTTTTCTGTGCTATTTTTGGCAGATACACTTTCTTCTTCTTTGTTGAATGTCGGGCTTTTGGTTTTGAACTCTGCTATCTCATAACTTGGTTTTTAATTTTTTTTTTCTGTAATTTTGTTTGTTTCCAATTAACTTGGAACTATAAAAATCCAAAATTATTGCAAGGAAACGATAAAAATTTCAGCATTATTTATACCTACCTTTTTTTTGCCTTCTACCCCAATTCCTTTGCCTGCCCTGTCTTCTCTTTTATCTGTCTCTCTTAGATCTGTTGAAACTTCAGTTCTTCTAAAGGTGTCATTCTCTATCTCCTCATTCTCTATCTCCTCACATGCACAAGGAGGCAATGCAAATTGCAAAATCATTGTTTTTCTTGCTCCCTTGATTTTTGATAAATAAAGTTCCTGCTGGAAAAGAAGCTTTAAGGCCTACAACATGATGGTGATGATCACGTGCGCAAGTCAGTTTGCTCATTTTGCTGTTACTGGAAGGGCATTGGTCAATGCTCCACAATCCACACGGAGATCAACACTGCCATACGTATGCAGCAATATATTTCGCTTTTTCCACATGTTTCATGTTACAAGCGAACGTAACAGAAATGTGAAAGAGTGATTCTAGTTAACTGCTTTCAAGATGCTTCTAAATTTCCATTGCAGTTTGCCGTCAGGGCATGGAATGAAGGAAATTACACAGTAAAATGTGAAAGAGTGACAATTTCGTTAAACTGAAACACATTTAAGCAGAAAATATCAAAAGAGTAACTCGCTTACACAAGTTCTAAAACAGTACTCAATTAAGTTTTTCTTTCTTCAAATGTATAACTTTATACGTCTCCTTTTCAAGCCCAAAGAAAGAGACTGTATGCCAACTAATTTACTTTTCAAGATCATTTCTTACCTTGCAAATGCGGCTACCAACTGAGCCCTCAACCAAAAAATAAATCAGCAGGAGAAAAATATATAAAAAAAGAAAGATAAAAGAGATAAACGATGAACCAAAAATGTATGCCAGCTCATCCTTCTGCTCCAAAACATTAGTTTATTCCCTTCAAAGGGAAATTCTATGCTTCCTCATCCTTCTCTACCAGTATCCTTTTGCATGCTTCATAGCACATGAAGGAAATCCCAGCAGCAGGTACCAACTTCATGCAACTAGGACCCAATCCTTTATATAGACCTTGAATCCCTTCTTGTTCAACAATGCTTGAGAGTGCATGCACCACATTCTTGTACACCTGTCTTCCATTGAGAGCTCCAACCTGCATGTGCTTCCGAGCCACCTCAAGCGGGAAAGTTGCAGTACTTGAAATAGCCCCGGCTAGTGATCCAATTAATAGGGTTTCAATATTGCCAATTTTTTCCTCCTTAAAAGCTTTACAATATGCTTTCCGCAATGAATCATATGCAAAATAATTAGTGGCAGCATATGGAATTACTCCGATGAGACTAGAAGCAAGGCCTCTATAAAGTTCAGCAGGGCCCTCCTTTTGCAGTATTTTTAAGAAAGCATCAAGTATACCATCATACATATTTTTCTGCAAAGTTAACAAATTTCAGATATAAGTGAAAAACACCAACTTTACTAGTTGGATTACAAATTTTTAGATTGTGTTTACCTCAATGGTTAATCGAGTCTTAACTAACTCAAGAGGATAGGTGCACAAAGTTGAGCTGACTCCAGCACAAGCCCCTGCAACTAACGATGCAGGAATCAGAATCTTTGGTTCTTCCCCAGGTTTGGGTGACAACTGCTTATTCACAGTCTCAAAAGCAAAAAGCTGCAGTACATGGGGAATTAGTATTTTAACATATTAGGAATAATTGCAATTTTCATTTTGACTAGACAAGAGAAATATGTTTCAACATAAAATAAAACATAGAATCTAACATCCAGAAAGACACAGCTAAGCCTTTCTACTACCATATTGATGGTCTATTGACTTAAAAAAGGAAAAAATTCGTTAGGATTGGATCAACTCATGTTTACAGCCAAGGCCTTTTGTTAGTTCTATATGACATCCATAACAACAAGCAAAGACTAGAAGTATAGTGCAATATTTTATCGCTTTATTTAGTGAAGAAGACGAGATATGAGCATTACTGCAATACATAGCAAGGATGAAACTTGCAAAACTATTCTTTGCAACAAGCCAACAACCAAACACCCTCCTGGCTAGTAATAAGAAGAACATAAGCACAGATGAACTCTGAGAAAAGCTTGCTTAAAACCTATATATGAATCATGCAACAGGTTTCTACCATATAATTGAGTTTAGAAATACAAAAGCATAACCAATGATGACAAACTAGTATGAAGCGTTGAACTAATGACAACAATGTTCACCAACAAGTGGTCTATGAAAAATGATACTAGTAATTGTTTTCTCCACCTCTTTCACATGTTTAAAAATTTATTATTCTTGAGAAAGATATGAACCATAAAGAAAATTGTAGAAGAAGAAAAAGGCATCTAAAGGCTTGTTTACAAGCTAGTTATGAATCACACTACATGTTTCCACTGGACTATTGAACCTTTGAGAATAGGTATTATACTAAAAGAGGATTTACCAACCAACGGAAACAAAGTAATAGGAACTGAAGGATAGAATTGATGCCAACACCATTAACCTAGATGTTAAAAAAAAAAAAATTTACATCTTCAATGGTTTTGCCCATCTGCTTCTTATGTAATCAGTTCATCCTTTAGGAAGATTAGAACCATAAAGATAACTAACCTTAGTCAATCGCATTCTTTTTTTTTTTCTTCTTAAACCAAAGTCAATTACATATTCAATTGATGATATTTAACCAAATAAAAGCAATTGACAGCAAGTAGATATTTGTCAAGATATCTTATATATAATTAGTTTTGAATGAAGCATAACTTGTGAGGAAGAGAATGAGAGAAGATCCAAAAAGATAAGGAAACAAACAACAACAGCAGACATCATTGGCCAAGAATTAACTAAGACATCAAAACAACATGCAGTGAGATTTAACAGAGATATGGCTTTGAACGGAGCAGAAAGGTGCAAATGTATATACACAATTTTCATTATGAGGAAAGTTCTTCCTCTTCTTTTCCTTTATCCCGCCTTAACCAGCTATATCGATAACATGTCCAAAAAATAAAAGCAGTAAGAAAATGAAAAATCATATTCCTGAGGTTGCCACAATTTTTTGCTCATTATATTTTACAGTTTCAAGGTTGTGCCATCCCAAAGTGGTTGGCACCAGATGACTCTAAGGGATTAATCAAATATCTTAGTGGTTGGCACCCAGTACATTTACTGCTTCTTTATCCAATTGCTTAGCCAAGGCAAATGGAGCTCCGTCTCACCATCCAATCAATCAGAAAACTACCATTTAAATCTATTTAAGGTAACAATCTATAGTTTGGCTTGAGCAGAGAGCCTTATCATTAAAATGAAATTATGAAGAAGCACCAATGCAACAATAAAATATAAAACTAGCAACTGCAGTACATCGGTTTACAACCACACTAGAGAAAACAAGCTAAAGGCTGATATCAAGAAACAGAAGCTAAAAAGGCGTTACATATTTGCATTGAGTATATAACTACATCTGCATTGAATAATAGAGAGAAAACATTAAAACAATATTAATCTGAATCATTGGCATTTGAAAATGCCTACCATATAAATGAACCAAAATACTTTACTGCAAAAAAGAACACCAGAAAGCTCAAAACCAAGCAATTGATTAACCAACTAGCTGCCATAAAACCATAAACAAGCTGAATAACATATATAAAAATACCAATAAGAAATCAGGGATTTAACACCTCTATCGCCCTGCTTGGCGCAACTCGAATCACATTAACGAAATTACCCCTAAACAGCCCTTTCCACCCATCAGTCTGCATTATATTATGGAACACCTCAGTTGTAGAATTCCCACTACTCCCAACCATCAAATGCGTCCTTATTGTCTCCAGTGGCGCGACGCAAGTCCTCGAAACCGCCCCAGCTATGGCACCACTTATTAAGCTCCTTAATGAAGGATTAGAAACCTTGATTTTCAGTTTTAAGCCAATTTTCTTCTTCTTCTTGTCCAAAGCTGCTTCACCTTCCGGTACTCCGACAACCCGAATTTCGTATTGTGATGGTAAATATTTCACAAACAAATCGGAAAATGTAGCTTTGATTCCACCATTCTCACGGGGATTTGGGGTGTTTGGTGAAACGCCAAATCCCATTCCCATTTGACCAACGCTAGCAAATAAGCCACCTGGATAAAAGTTATTCTGTTCGAGACTCCATTGAGACCCCAAATCACATATAGAGAAAAAGCCATCTTTTTTATCATCAAGCAACTGAATTCCTCTCTTGCCCATGTTTGAAAAAACTTTGAAAATCTAAAAAAAAGTTCTTTTTCTGGGGTGTATTGAATAGCCAAATCCGTTTTTCATTGTTTTAAGAGACTTGAGAGTGTATGTGAAGCAAAGATTCGATTTTGAACAAATGGGTGACTAAAAAATCCATTTTTGATAAATGGGTACTAGAGAAAATCAAGTTTTTTTGAAGAATCCAAAGAGAAGAGGGGATGAAAACAAGAGACAAATGGAAAATTTAGAATCCTTAGAATGAAAGAAAGAGAAAACGGAGAGTGAAAGAGAAAAGAGTAGGTGAACCAATATGATTCTCTCATTTTCTCTCTTTCAAAAGGAAATGAGTGTCAAAACGTAAATATAGACAGAGTAGGGTTGCTTTGGTTTGGTGGGTTAGAGTTGGGAGGTGTTCGGTTTCTCTTGTACTTCCAATCCGACAAGGGGAGCGAATCTGAAGGTGGTGTCTTCTCTTTTCGTCTGTTCTCTACTGCTGCTTTGGAGATTTCAGTAATTTGAGGTGTTTTTTTACTATTGGTTTTTTTAGGAAATTGGACAATGGAATGCATATATAATTTTATATTTCTCTTCGGCTCTGCCATTGCCTATGGCCGGAGTCGCCTCGAATGAATATATTTGCAGTGATGATATTATGTCTTTAGTGCTCTATGTTTTGAGTATACTGGATTTTATATGACCCCCAGCCACAGGCCACAAGGCCGCCCAAAACGATTATCCAGTTCCCAGAATACAGACAAACTCTTGCTGTTTTCACTTTCCAGTCAGCACTCAAAGCCACTTGGCTCTACGAAGCAAGCACGCAGGATCACCGTCTGGATGCCCGTGCTGGTTTTGTTTGTAATTTTATTTCTTGGACTGTGTGCCTTTTTATCCTTTCCATTCAGTTTGAGCTAAACCCTACAGAGGAAAGCCCAGCTGACACCTTTGGGCAGTTGACCCAATGCTGAAAACTTATTTCCTGTATGAAAACTAGTAAGTAATGGTATCAGGTCGAAATGAATTTTTATTCATTTCAAATTTAATTTAATTATATATATATAAAATTTAAATTTGATTTGATTTAATTTTTTATATTTTTTATATTTGAATTTGATTCGATTTAATATTATATAAAATCGTATCCGATTCAATTTGATCTTAAATTAATAAAATATTTTTAAATATAAAATATTATTTTTTAATATAAATATAAATTAAATATATAATATATATAAATAAATATAAAATTAAAAAATAATTTTTATATATATCAGGTCAAATAAGATCAAGTTTACCTAAAATTTGATCCCGATTCAATCCTAAATTTTTTTTATATTATCTGATTCGGCTCGATTCAATATTTAATTTTTTAAAAAAATTAATCTTAAAAAATTGAGTTAAATCAAAACTCGTTGTATTTGAGTTATATTGCCTTCTCTAAAACTAGTATGTTATGGTATTATATTATTATCTTAGTACTTTTTTGAGGATGATTTTTTTTTTAAAGAAAAGAAAAAACATAAAACACTCAATTATTTTTGCAAATCCTATGACAGCTCCGTATAAAAGTTTTCTTTTTCTAAAACATTTCATGAAGAAAAACCCAAAACATATAATGATGAATGAGATTTTTCAGTACATTTGCAAGTTGTCTAGAGGTGGTAAATCTACAAAAAATTGTAAAATTTCAATATGATCCGATCATATAAAATTTTTTTTAGATTAGATTTTGGGTTAGATCAAATTTTTTTAAAATCAAAGTCAAATTTAAAGTTAAATTTTAGATAAATTTATCTTGATTCGGTATATATAGTTTTTTTATTATTTATTTGATTTTATATATATATCTGTATTATATTAATATAATTATTATTTAATATTTTAATTCAATATATTAACTTAATAAAATATATTATTTATATATAATTTATATTAAAAATATTTTATAAATATTATATCAAATTAAAATTATTAAATTAATTTTGGATCGAATGGTTAAAATTTTATATATATACAAATCGAATATAAAAAAAATAAAAATTTAAAATCAAATGAAAATCGAAATAAAAACTCTCTCCGACTTTATTGTCCTCTCTAATATTGACATGTCATTATGAATATTTGGTGAATAAGAAGAGAGTCAATACTGTGGTACCAAATAAATATTGTGACCAATAAAAAGCAAAGATGCTGATCACATGCATAGTACATCATAATTAACACATTTAATAGCAAAATAGTAAACTTATGAGGTTTTTTTATGTTATATTCAAACAATTTAAGGTAAAATCACATGGGTATTACATCGTTCACATGAGAAAAGAAATGTTTTGCACATAAAAAAAAAAAAAAAAAACCTATAGAAGCTTCAAGATAGTATAAATCTTAATAAAATTATATTTATTTATTACTCAAAATATTGAAAATGATAATTATATATATCAACTAAATGATATTTTTAGTTATTAATTTTGAAAAAATATATTGTTTAGATTTTTTAATGTATAAAAAATAATTGAAAACAATATTGTAATAAATCTTTTTCTTTACTTTTTACTCTTTAATCAAACAATATTTTTTTTATTAATTTTAGTTATCCAAAACAAATTGTATATATATCTTTTCTTTTCCTTTAAAAAATTTCACTTTTTTTCTTTATTAATATGTATCCAACACATAAAAGTAAAAAGTTACAAACATAACTCATCAATCCTTTACAAAATTGACATATATAAGTCACACAACTAATACGTTTAGTAAAAAAAAAAAAAAATCAAAAGAACTACTAAATCGGAATAAAATTAAATACAACCTATATTTGGTAGGACTTAAGCCTAAACTTAAAGCTTTTCAAGGTCTCATTGATTACTCTTCACTAATTTTTTTTATTATTTTAATTTTACGAATAGGTAAATATTTTTATTATGTCAAATAATGTGTATGATAGATAGAAAAACACAAAAAATAGATTTCATTATCAATAATCTGCATAGATGGTCTAGTAAAATTTAATTAATAATATTTTCTAATCATCCTTAATTTGAATTAAAAAAAAAGATTATGAAGAAATAAAAAAACTTAAATAATACATTAATACTTTTTTCAAAATAAAAAAACATTAAAATTAATTCATCCTTGTAATACCATTTTACTCTTTCAATCAAACAAAGTTAAATTATATCAAAGGTTCTCATATTTTGCAAAAATTTAAAATTTAATCTTTATATTATAATTTATACAAATTTAATTTTTGTATTGTTTTAATTTGATAATTTTAGTTCAATTACTAATTTTGTCAATTTTTTATCAAAAAAAATTGATGTCATTGTTGATTTTGCTAATATAACGATGGCTTGCTAACATGACAACTTGGATAAATGAAATCACTTGTTCAATTATATAAATTGTCTCTGTATTCATATGAAATTTGAAATTTACTTCTTATATTAGTGAGAAATTTAAAATTTAATCTTTCTAATATAAATATATATTTTGAATTTTTTATAAATTTTCTAATTTTTAAAAATATTAAATTTATTTTTTTCAATATTTTAATTTTTTTAATTTCATTTTTTGAACGTTTTGTATTTTTTTTTAAATTTAACATTTTCATTTTTAAAATTGCTAACATGGTAATTTGGATGAATGAAATAAGTTGTTAAATTAGATAAATGGTCTGTATATTCATATGAAATTTAGAACTTAATTCTTATGCTCGTAAGAAATTTAAAATTTAGTCACTCTAATATAAAATATATTTTGAATTTTTTTATATATTTTTTAGTTTTTAAAAATATTAAATTTCTTTTTTTCAATATTTTAATTTTCTTAATTTCATTTTTTTGAACGTTTTGTATTTTTTTAATTTAATAGTTTCATTTAAAGAAAATATTTAATTTTATAATTTTAATTTTTTGGAATATTTATAAAAATTTCCATATTTTTTAATTTTTATGTTTTTAGAAAATTTTTATAATCTTTTATGTTTTAAAAAAGATTTTGTAAAATTTAAAAACTTTTTACATCTTTTTGAATCTCAATCAAGTGAAAAATAAATCAAAATCAGAAATTCTTCGTATTTCGCTATTTCTCTCTTTTCCCCAAAATTTTATCCTCTTTGTACCAAATATACAAAATAGAACAAATCCTAAAGACTCATGTCTTCTTTATAGTTTATTTATTTTTCATTTAAATATTAAAAAATATAGAAAATTTCTAAAAAAATTAAAATTTTATAAAAGTTCTAAAAAGTTAAAAACAAAAAATTAAATATTTTGATTAAATAAAATGTTAAAATTAGAAAACATAAAAAATTCAAAAATGATTTTTATTTAAAAATTAAAATATTGAAAAAAGTAAATTTAATATTTAAAAAAATAGAAAATTTATTAAAAAATTCAAAATATTGAAAATTTCTAGAAAATTTTAAACTTCTAAAAATTAAAAATACAAAAACTTTCAAAAAAATGAAATTAAAATATTAAAACATTAAAAAAGAATTTAATATTTTTAAAAAACAAAAACATTTTATAAAAAATTTAAAAAATTTTTATATTAGAGGTATTAAATTTCAAATGTTATATGAATACAATGACTAAATTTTAAATTTGTGTAAATACATGAATTATTTACATAATTTAATAATTGATTTTATCTATCAAAATTACCACATCAACAAGTCAAAGTAACGCCAACAAAGTCAACACCCACTTCATTAAGTCGACGATTACCTCAGTATATTTAATGATAACAAATTGATAAAGTTAGTGATTTAACTAAAATTATCAAATAAAAATAATATAATGATTAAATTTGTATGAATTACAGTATAAGGACTAAATTTTAAATTTTTGTAAAGTATAGAGATCTCTAGCATAATTTGACAAAATATGCTTGGATCTTAATTTTAAAAATTTATAATATGATACTTAATCTATAATAAATGTTCAATGTGGTATTTGAACTTTAAAAATCTCTAATATGATATTTAAACTATAATATTTTAATTATTGTGGCGCTCACCTCTAACGTGATCAATTTTAAATGATGACATGTGACAGACAAAAAATCTTCTTATACCACATTTGTTAACATATTTATAATTTATATATTACATTAAAAAATTTTAAAATTTAGATATCATATTAAATTTCTTGACTTTAACACACTTAAATTTCTTGACAGGTTCATATTTTCATTTATAGCATAGATTAAACTTCTATCACTAATTATTATTATTAATTATTTTTAAGAAGAGTTCTTAATTTTTAGTTTTTGAGGTTGTTAAAGTTGATTTTTAATCACTGAAATTAAAAATTAAACATTCTATCAATGAATTATATACATATTATGTAATTGCTAATGAATTCAAATCTTATTTTTTAAATAAAAATAAATTTATTAATTATTAAATCAAATATTCGAATGCTCAATTAATTGTTTGCTAATTTAAATAATTGGGATACGGTATGATTTAAATGATTATTTTTAAGCGTAAAATATATCAAAAGTCATCCAACTATATATATGTCTTTTTAAAATGATTACTGAATTATTAAAATTTTTAATTTAATAACTAATGTCTGAAGAAGTTTTTTTTTTATCACTCAGCCATTATTTTATAACAATGCGGACTAAACAAATACATATCATAAAAAAGGCCATGTGAGTAAAAAAGACATGGCGTTAAAAATAAAAAATTAAAACAAAATAAAAATATTTTTTTATCTCTTTCTTTTCTTCTTCCAGCTCTCTAAGTATGTACAAATGGTTTCAGAGGAATCATACACACTTGCATCGAGAGAAACAACCAAATAATCAACAAAAACAAGGACATGTTAAGTGGAGAATTGACAAGAGACAATCACCCACCAATCCAAATCTCACATCCAACAGCTTGAAAATTTTGCTAAAAATTTTACGGGT